TGTCCTACCGCCCTCGCCGCCCCCCCAGCTCCGCTCCGGCTCCCGGCAGCTGCCCGCCCCCAGGTGCCGGCCAGGACTCCAGCCAAATCCAGAAATCTGGGATAACTGGTAAATATGGCAACGTACGTAACTGTTGTTACGCTTTAAAGATTTCAGTATGAGACAGGCACCTAGGCAACTCGTTTTGAGACTGACTGCAAGTTTGTTTTTATAAAGTCTTTGTAATTCTTTCGGCATTTGAAGTAATTCTTTGAAGTGAGCTCCCTGAACACGAGGTTCGCTTATGAAGAGCTGGCAAGCCTCTCCTTACACACACACACATCCACCAGGAACAGCTTCCTTTCCCCCAGGTTACCAAATCTGTGCTCCATGAGACCCCCCTTCAGCTTTCCCCTGGCAAACTTCTGGACGATGCTGTCTGTGGAAACTGTTAAAAACACATACACCTTTGTGGTGATCTGCTTCGGATGTTTTGTTTTGAAAGCTCTTTATATAAGGCCTGTTTTGACAAAGGCCTCTGCCTATGGTAATGCACTTGATAAAATACAATGCAATATGGAGAGCAGTGTTGTCCATCTAACCTGTCACCTATTCAGTTACCAGTTTATTGTGTTTCTATTAAATACATCATTGCTGAAGTGCGATTTCACAGCCTCTGCTGTCACAGAGTCTGTGTGGCATTTGGAAAGGCGACAGCTTCTCGCACTGAGGGTGGCGAGGGAAACAAACTGTGGCGGTGAGTGCTGCAGCCTCATTCCTCCCAAGAATGGACCTAAAATCCCTGTGTTTTCTTCTCCGTTGCTTGACCACCTCCTTCCTCTTTTCCAATGCAGTTGCTGTTGTTCTTGTGGTGATGATACTTAGCGTTCTGTTTGCCTCTTGGCATAAAAGGCTGGAAGAAGGTAGTTGTTTTCTGAATCCACGGGCATCCATGAGCAGTGTCACCTGAACTGTGCTATCTTGAGAAGAAGAATGGACACGGGGGAACATAGGAAAGTTCTTCACAACAAGAGTTCGTTGCACTGGGTGACAGGTATTAATACGAGCTTGGCAGCTCTCATGAGGATATTTGGATGATGGGACAATAACAAGGAAGAGACAAGCACGATGGGTACAACATAAAAGGCCCTCTGGCCATATTTTATAATGCTCCACGCTTTGCTTGCCTTACCTGATGGGGTTTGAGTTTCAACAGAAATTGCTTTAAGAGGAAGGGAAGAATTTCATTTTTTCCCAAGTCGAAGACCTGTTAGGCATCTGTGGTACAATGATGTATCTGAAATTCCCACACCAATATTTTATTTTTCTAAAAAAATAATTTACCATCATCACAGAAAAGATTCTTCTTGAGGTCAAGTTTTGACGAAGACAAGGAACCAAGGCCTCAAAAGGAAAATTTAAAAAATTATCTAGACATCCTGAAAACGTATCTACATTTTGAAAACAGCTTTAGCCACTTACAAGGACCTGACGAAAAGTAAGAGAAGTTTCATAGAGTCAGAGGCTTACAGAGAGCTTCTTCCTCCATCTTGGATACGGTGTGAGAGACAATGTGCCACTGAGTGACAGCGTCAGAAAGATAGGGAGGGCTAGCAAGGAAACGAACATACAAGATATGCAAGATTTCTTTTTATCAACACTGTGCACGTATCTTGGAGAGTGGAAGAGCTACTATATCCTTGTTGTAATCTCTCATCCTAATCACAGTGACTGTGATTTGCTTTGTGCAGCAAATGGAGAAGGAAAACTGTTCCAACCACACCTATACCAATTCTGGAAGATATTCCGCATCACTGCCAAAATAAAGCTAAACCAAGGGCCACCCAGGGGTAAGACCCTGCTCTACTATAAAGTAATCCTCAGGCTGTTGCTCACAACGGAATGCACATTGCCACTTCTCACCATGGCTAAGGGAACTGAAGACACTTGATAAAGCTCAGTACTGGGCCCATAAGCAAAAGAACAAACTTTAAAATAAAAAATTAGACTACGTACCCCCCTGGTTTTGGCTATGGAACATGTTAGTCTGAAATTAAAGCAATAACCTGTTTCAGAATTCAACGTCCAAACATCAGATAACTGGAACTTCTGGGCTTTTTCCCTTGTAAAATAGCATGCAAGTTAAATCTGAAATGCCTGTATTTTATATAGACCACGTTTTAATGCAAACATATAAAAAATGTTATCATGTACAAAACTCCAGTCAGCTATCCTTATGCTATGCATTAATTCCAGAGAACAGCTGGAAATCCCTTGGAAAGTTTGATGTAATTACATCTGACTGTAAATCCTTGACTGTTTTAATATACTCAGGTGACCTAAATAGCACTACGCAGAAAAGAATTTTAATTTAAAGTAATTAAGAAAGAGTAATTGTCTCAACTTAAGATTAGTTTCTCTGAGAAGTTACTGCTCAGAAAAGTCCTGTATGCCTTGTTCTACAGCCATATTCTTTGTATTTCCACATTGTAAATACTTCATGGTAAATTGCAATGGAAGCTCGGCTTAGCTCAACTTCTCCTGGCTCTGTGGTACTGCTTCTTGGTTGAGAAAACTGATCTGGCTCTTGTTTTTTGGCATCTATGCTTTACTTTTACAGCTGATTCAAGTGTATCCACTGCTAGTTTAATGGTGACTTTTCTTCAATATGAATTTCTGTCATGCTCAACTAATTTACAGATGCAAGGGGTGTGTTACCAATTGTCCTTTAGAATGTCTCAACCAAACGATCTTTCAAGAGGTATAAATGAAGATGGTGGGAAATCCTATCAGCAGTACAACCAAGGTTCTCCTTTACTCTGTTGTTGTGCCAAGCAAGTTGTCTGAGCATGGCCTAAAGCCGCCTTTCCTAGAACGGCTGGTCAGCTGGTTTCACATATATTAGATGAGGGGTGTGATCTCGTTAAAGCACTAGATTTATTTTACAGTGGTGCAGATCAGCCGTGTTGTTCATGTGCAATAGGTGCCTATTCCTTTGCTGTTTTCTCAGGGCTTCTGGAAACAATAGCAGCTAGGAGTTATAGGCTGGATGAATTGTTGCCAGTTACACTGATGTGGCCTGAAAACAGCCGTTTGGTGTATTATGGCCTAAGTAGATCTGCCACTCAGATTGTGGTTTGCCCATGCAGAAACGCATGTGAGACCTGCTTTTTGAAGGTAAAATTGCGATGCCTCAGAATAACACCCTAAGGCAGAAATGTGGTTATTTGTGGAAATTGCCTGCAGAGGTGTTCATGAAGTTATAGTTGGGATTAAATCTGTTGAAGTTGCCCTTAAATTGAGATAGTTGTAAAAAGCCGTTGAGCTGCTTTGTGGAATCAGTAGCTACAGTAAATTGGGCCTCCACCAAAACTGGACAATCATTGCCCTAAACAAAGGTGCGTAAAAAAGTACAGGCAGGAAAGTGAAGCTGGGAAAATAAGGCAAGAGGAGATAAAGGTAGTGAGGCAGGGGCACTAATGGTGTGAGCCTGAGAAACAACACAGAGGAAAGCCTGAAAGCCAAAAGAGGCCTGGGATTATGATGAAATAAACCATCTCAAATTATTTGATTCTTTATATATGTGAGGAAACAGAATTCTATGCTTTTCTTAATAAAGAAAACCATGCAATTGTATTCTCAATTTCTTCTTTGAACAAAGCATTCCATACACTGGCAAATTTTCTTGACCCTCTGGAATCAAAAAAGACTAAAGGTATGAATTGCGTCAGTGTTCTTATGGAGACTGCATTCAACTGCGTTGCTGGACTTACAAGCAGGGATAACATCTTAGCTAACCTCCAGATTCAGTCAGCCATAAGCACGCTGTGAACCTTTTTTTTCTAACTACCAAATTGATGCTATTTTTAAAAAAACCCACATACAGATTATTTTCAAATGAAGACGTTTAAGTGTAGCATTTCATTAAAGAAAAAAGTGACAACATATACTTTAGCTTTCTATTTCATCTTAAATCACATAACTAGATTATTGCAGTATTCTTTAAATTCAGAAGTCCCTTTCCCAAATGGCAGCGAAAATAGCTTTTCTCGTGACTGTTTAACTTCTAAGAAAGCTACCTTTTTTTGCTCTTTTATGTCAATCCTTCCCATGCACTGTCATCATTTTACCAGGGTAATAGTCTATTTTCTTTCTTTCTTTTTCCCTTTCTTCAGTATTTTCTGTAATTTCCTTCACTAAGGGAAAAGTACTTGATCCTCCTCATCAGGGCATGGCTCCTTGAGCAGTGTAAGTTTTGGGGGACAAATGTAAGTTAAGACTAAAGAACTGGGAGACAATTCCCACATAGTTAATTTTCTACTTAAGACTGAGTAGGTTTTGAAGGTGGGGTTTTTCGTGTGTAAAGTAGCGTACAAATGCTGTGTCTAGATTTACAGATACTTGCATTTGATTAAGGTTATGTAAAACCCAGGGGTAATATAGAAAAAAGTCACAAATAGTTTGAAGGCTGGAGCAAAAATCTTTGTAGCTGAAGACTTCTTTATGATTAACGTCAAAAGTGACCTCATTACAGAATACACACCCTTACGCAAGTATTCGAACCAATCTGTTATCATACAAGGTGATCTAAAGATCTCTTCTGGTTTGGAAAACATGACCTTAAAGGAAAATAGCTCTCTTTCAAGGGTGTGGGCCACCTTGTTTGTTTATCAGTGACGAGTTCAATATGGCACGACTTCCTGTGCAGTCTTTGCCCTATACCTAGTCTGGGCAGGTATTCATAAAATTAAAGAACTAGAAACAAAATAATCCTGAAGAAAAACCACTTGTGGCTGCTTTATGGCCTGAAGCTTTGGAGTTCTAAAGAAACATAATGACCACTCCAGGAAGGTTAACTGTTTGGTGTTTAGGGCAAACTATACGATATCTAACCTGCAACCCCACACCAAGCTTACCACAAGTGTAGAGCCAAAGTTTTGAGAGTTGTTCAGAAAGAAAGCAAACTACCTGTTGGAGGGGGAGCTCAAGCTAAACAAGGGAGCTGTGTAGCACCATAGGCTTCAGCATGCTGAACTATGCCTTTGTGGGACAACGGGCTGAAATAATGAATAACAAAAATGTGCCTCTGCCAGAATTTTTCAGCGTTCTTTTCTATACTTCTGTAAGATCATCCTCTGCTTCAAAAGTTTTCCTGCTGCTTTAGAAGTGGCAGCAGATGAAATCCATATTTAGTATTAATTATTAAAGAAACACAAAGGAAGAAAGACATTTTCTCATTCTCACTGGGCAGAACCAGCTCCTGTGGTTTAAGGATCAAGATACAAGGAACAAAGACAGAGCTGCTGTTATTGAAAAGCTTTACTTAAGACCAAAGACACCTTGTGTTCAGGAGCAGCCCTACCACATGAAACAGCAGCTGGTGAAAAATGCCATCGCAGAGCCATACTGTAGGTGGTTGTCACATTTGCTGTTTTCTGAATGGACACGCTGGTGGTGTTTGCCTCTGATATTGCCATTAGAGAAGGTATTAATATTTGTGAAAAATACCTGCACAGCTTGGGCCATTATTTTTTTTTTTTTTACTGCAGCAGGACTTGGCCTTTCTGTTCTCTCTCTTCCTGAGGGTTCAGAGAGCAGCTGAGTGAGGAAAGTGGAAGTGCAGTCCTGGGGGGAGAAGCAACAGGAACTACCCTACCTGGAAGAGGTATCTTTGATAACTTGGTATTTTATTCATAGCTTCATGAATCTGCCATCTCAGATGTAAATTTCTTAATAGATGTCTTCAGGCTGTCTGGAGTCTTCACCTGCCCTGCGACAGTCTCAGGGCAGAATTAAAAATGCAGATATGCGTCAGGCAAGAGCTGCATCCATCCTGATCTGTTTTGAAGCTGATGGTGTGATGGAGGTGCAATGTCAGTCTGAAAGCAATGAAGTGAGCGTTAGCAACAGGAGAAAACTATGAAGGAGAGAGCTTGAGAGACAAAGTTGAGTCAAGCTTGAATCAAGCAATAGCCAGAGTTTTGCAAAGCGTTACACTAACTCTGCTTCACGTTTGTTCTACTGAGATGTCACAGTGAAATGTCCTCTCTGTTTTCTTGTGCCCCCTTTATCTGCCTGGCCTCAGTCTACCGCAGTGCCTGCACTTTCTTCTCGACCTAGAGCATCTGCCACTGACTTTGATGGCTTTTCATAAAACACCGTTTCTGTGAATCTTTATAAACTTTGCATCTTTCCTTCTAAGGCTCAGTGAAATGGCTGTAGCAGTGCTGTAGCTGTGGAGACAGGAGCAGCAAGGTTTGAACAGAAGTAATACCAGAAATGGTGAAGATATGTGAGTAGTACTTCTTCATATCTATGTTTAAGTATTACTCCTTTGTCTTCTGTTGCATTTCATCCGTTGCTATCTATTGGAATAGCTTCATTGCAGGAGTGTCCTTTTTCCATAAAAAATCTCTTTCAATTAATCCTTGTTTATAAATGTAGTGGTAAAATCTTCCAGGATTTGAAATGTGCAGCCATGTTAGCTCCTCCAGCAAGTATATTTGTTGCTCTTTCATTCAATAGAGCATCTTCCTTTACTCTCAATCAAGTTTTTTTCAATTTGTGGCATTTTTTCTCTCAGGCTGATTAAATGGGACAGTTGGTAGACTGCAACATGGCAAAACAAAAGAACAGCCTTACTACTGCTTCTGTTTGATTTCAAGGCAAAGGCAGTTTTCATAGCTCTTACTGTGGCTATCAGCTTTTTTTTGGTATGGTATTAAAACAAGACAGTAGGACTATCTATCATGTTAAAAACAGAGATAAAAAGGAACACAAAAATTATTCATTGTATATGATGAGTAAATGTAAGCTCTGGATTCTGCAGTAGATATCTTGCTTGGCTCTCCTGTTCATCGTTACTGTTATGTACGTGCTAACAGGATTAGGAAAGTCACACACAAATGTAACAAATGATGGCTCTGAGCGGAATTAAAGGCATGAATTAATTTTCTTCTATCTCATGCATCATTAAATATTGCTATTGTACTGTCTACTGATTATCTATATTATACCTGTCACCTGATAGCAACCACGGTCGTTATGGTAATGTCAAGATTATAATTATAGTCCCTTCTGCAATGTAGTCATACTATGCTAAAAAATACATCTTTGAGATGGTAGTGTCCCATGCTTGGTCTCAGCCCAAACATGAATACCTTTTGAGAATTTTGAGGTTTTGTTTCTGAGTTAGGACCATTCAAGGAAAATTATATACTTATATGTACATGTATGTGTATATAATTGAAAAATACATAGCCTTTTGAACTGTGGCTTTACTTTATTTGAGATAAACAAAACTTGTCATAACCTCTTATGCCTTGCCAAACATCCCTTCAGCTGAGTTTGGGAATTTAAGATGATAAAAAAATGCAGTTATTACTCAGAGATCAAAGAAATCATGTGAAAGCTTGTTTGGCAGCATGTGTCAGTGTGGTAGATGAGCCCATACCCTTTTGCAGCTCAACGCATGGTGCCCTGGGCGTTCTGGCTGTACCTCCCAAGGTCTCTCTCGTGGCAGAGGCTGGTGACGTCTAAAGCCCAGCAGCTGATGCGGGAACCAGAGCCAGGACTCCTGGGAGAGGCATGTTTATGAGACTGTAGATTGTGGGTGGCAGGTAGAGGGTGACTTCCCAGAAAATAAAATCCACGCTTTCAGAGAATGATCTGATTTCTGTAGAATGTAAGGGCAGAACTCTGAGAACAAATTTTAAGTCATTATCTGGTATCTTCTTCGGATTTTTTTTCTATCGTTGGTCTATTTTCTTTTGGATTTGGGAGACAATTTTTCATTTAATTCTAAAGAAAAAAAAAATTGTCTCGGAAGTATACAAATGTATAAAACAATTCTCTTCCCAAATGTAAAAACGTTCTAGGGAAACCATATTGAGGAATATGTGTGGATGCAACTTGGGGAGCAAATAGTTCAAAATACCCACTACATGTAAAACTAAGGGTCTTGCAACCATTACCTCATTTAGTAACGTGTAACACTATAAATGTTATGTTAACCTAAGATATAAAATAACTTATTATATGTTCTTAGCTGTAATTTGAAAATAATTATAGTCACCATAATCAGGATAGAATGGCACATACAAGTTTTTATCTTTAAATGAGGTATCTGTAGAAACACTGCAGTGTTGTTTTGTTTCCTGTTCTCATCACTTACACAGTACTACATTGATATACTGCTTTTTATTAATTGATTTTGAGAACAAAGTTGGTCAGTTGTTGCAATATATTTTTGGTAATGTTTTGACATCAATATTTGGTTTCAAGCACGAGTGTACAAAGCCGTTTATGTGCCAGCCATTCCTAGGTTGGCATAGGTACCTATTAAGTAAATACTTTTATTCAGATAGTCTGTGAACAAACTATTGCCAAGAACGTCCATTAAAACACTCAGCGATCGCAAGGTTGTCTGTAGATGTTAAACAAGAGTGTCTGATGCTCGTGGATGCTGTCAGCAGTGAGGATAGCTGTGTCTGTATGCACTTTAGGAACAGGACGGCCTCTTGCCTGCAGCCTACTCTTTTACAATGGCTGCTACTCAGTAGCACGTTTATCCTCCTGTCTTCACAGACTTAAAGTGGTTTATGTGAAAAGGAATAAGGGCAGTGGAATCTCAATTAGTTTGTTAATTATTTAGGGATTAAGGCCTTATTCTACCCTAATCATTTAAGAAGTTTGGTTGATTAGTAGAATCTCATGGAAAATCTTTATCTTGCCATTGAGTCTGAAGTGAGAGTTTGAAGACTCAGCTGTTTTACTACTGGGCATTAGCAGTGAGAATTTTGTGTAATGATGACAGTTGATGGAAGCAAACCATACTGCTGAGACACAGCAGGAAATATCCCTCCTAACAGAAAAGAGCGTATCGGTGAACTAGAAAGAAAGATTAAGAAAACTAGAGTGGATCTTGTATAGTCCTGGCTCACCAGAAGCTGCCAAGGATGTGAGCCAGACCCAGATGCGGAAAAGACTTTATCTGTTCTTCTACAGCAGCATTTGTTATGAGATTACACCTTTGTTAAGGGGACTGGTTTGGTCGTATACTTGCATATAGGTAGGTGTTGCATATATTGCAAAAGCAAATGAAACCCAGGCATCTTTGAGTGGATCTCAGATTCCAGGTGTATACAAGAAAATCCATTCCCCAAAAAGAGTTCCCATTTCACACAGCCTGTTACAAGGAGTTATGGTGGACCATTTCATGTCTGCTCTGCTGTTCTCATAAAAAAGCCTTTGTTGTTGAAGGAAGAAGACACATCTCTCCCTTTCCCCTCCTCATGTAAATGAAAAGTATCTTTCTGTAGCTTTTTTCCTTTCTTATCACCTCAGGGTATCTTCCAAGTCTTTTCAAATATCCCTCCTTTGAGACCAGAGATTTTTCGTTAAGAGACGAATGCCTTCAGCGATGTGAGAGGATTTAGCCATCTTGCCCTTGATGTCCTGTGAAGCGTGTATTAGTATTGGTGTGGTGCCAGAGCTTTCACAAAGGCACAGGTAGCTTGCCTAGAGCTTCGGTTTGGATCTTGATTTTCTATTTTGGAGGGAAGCAATAAGATCGATTCCAAAGGAAAATACATACTTTTGTCTCTCATTTTTGAATGGATGATCAAAGAGGAGTTTATTGAGAAGCCTGGTGAGTAATTTCTTCCCTTATTCACCTGTATGTCTAGATAAATAGTCAAGACTGGCTTGACAGTTCTAGTTCCCTGAGCCTCCTTTTGCTACATCACACAATTGTGTTCAGCACACAGAATTACTGAGGTCAGGAAAAGTGAAGCTAGATGGCACTATGGTCCAAAGAAATCATGTGCTGCTGGTGGGCAAGATGAAGCTGTGCAAGTCATCTGGTCTAAAAAGCCTCTAGAGTTTAACAGATATCAGTAAAACCAGGGTCAGAACTCCTGAAATGGAATTAGGGAGAGAACAAATATTTAGCTTTTGGTTTTTTTAACATTAACAGACTTAAAGTTAAGCATATAGACATGAAAGAGATTACAGATGTAAAACGGCTTTAAGATTGGGTGCACAGATAAAACTGTAAGAAATAGGTGGTGCATCATTGCCTCAACATAACTTCAACATATTTGTGTTTTTTAAACATACGCTTAGATACTTCTGCTCAAATATGATAATAAGGATGGAAGTGGATAAGCCATGCACCACATCTGTGCAGTTAAAGAAAACCAATACATTCATCTTATTGGGTCCAGGAAGCTAGAGGGGAAGAAGTTCCGCCCTGATCCACTCATGAAACTTTTCTTTGCTGATTTTTTAGGATGGAGATAAAGGGACCTGTGCTGCCAAAGTATAAACTTCGTACAAGCAAATATCTGGGATAGTTATTGTATGACACTGATTAAGTTATCTTTATATACATATATTTCAACTTTCATATGTCAATTTTCCTAATCTCTATTTTTAGAACAATTTTTTTTTTTACTCGGTTATGCTAGGTTTTAGTTAACTAATATATGTAACTCATCCATTTTTATTTTTATCAGAAATAAAAGTCAGACAAGAATATATCGGTATAGATTTTATTAAAATTATAAGGCCAACCAAAGCCTTTACCTCACCTATAATTAGTATTTTTAAAGTACAAGTAGGCAATTTAAGCTTAAGAATTCAGTAGAAGAATGTCAAAGTTATTCAAACAAAAAACAAATAGACAAAAATATCCCTAAGTTTTGGAAGTCTGGGGAGGTCTTATTTAATAATAAGTTTAAAGAAGGTCTCAGCGTTTGAAAGTAAATAAAATCCAGGCAGCCAAACACTGTGGTGTCTGTAGTGAAGCCAGCCTCCAGGCTTTTCCATTAGCATTCTTTGCTCATGCAACGAAGGGGCCTGCATTGTGGCATGCTGTGTTTGAACCAGGGTCTTTTGCTAAAGGAAGAGTCCCTTTTTTAG